ACTCTTCTGATAGCTTACTAAATTTAGCAGCGTCTGGTCGTCTTTCCTTACTATATGGGACGGAGGTACAACATAGTAAAAAAAGAAAATGCACATAGAAAATTTCGGATCCTCATAAACGTCATCGTTCTTTTCCAGCCGTCCTGGAAAAGAAAAAAGAAAATGTAAGTGCATGTCGAAATACACTCGTATGTGCGTAAAAGCACAATGTCGGCGGAAAAAAAATGGAAAATAAACTCATGAACACGTAATAGCGTTAAAAAAATTGTTTTTTTTGTTTTGTTTTTTTTTTAAATAGAAATAAAAATATATAAGCATATTAAAATTTTTTTTTTTTTAAAAATAATATAAAATGTCGAGAAGTGCCTTACGTGCAATAGTCGTTTAGATGTTCTGGAAATCTCACCCTTCTTCCAGAACGCGTCGTTTTAAGTTTATTTTCGGATACTGTCGAAGTATCATCGTGTGTGTTGGTTGTCGGATGAGGTATTATAAGTGTCGGAGTCGTGTCGTTCGATTGTACCGAAGGAAAATCCACGTAGACAGGATTTCCTTCTAAATACGCTGCTTTTAAGCGATCGATGCTGATGCTATCGTTGGTTCCGTTCTTATCGACTATATAGTACTTAGATTCACGTTGAAGAACTTTCAAGGGTCCTTCGTATGCTGATTCGAATGGTCGTCGATGCGAGTCTCGACGAACGAAAACGTGTGTACTATATCGTAAGTCAGGTTGAACGAAAACATCAGTTGATTGAGGTCGAGTGGAAGCAGGTTTAACTGAACGCATTGCGTTTGTAAGCCTGTTCGTGTAGGAGGTTAGATCCATGTTCATTGAAGAGGATGAAGGATCCACGAATTCTCCTGGAAGTCGAATTGTCGTTCCATAAACGAGTTGAGACGCAGTGTATCCAATGTCAGCTTTCACTGCGTTGCGGATACCTAGTAAGACGAGTGAAAGAGCGTCGGTCCACTGTGAAACGTTTGCAGCTGATAGCGAAGCTTTCAGTTGTCGGTGAAAACGTTCTACCAACCCGTTTGCTTGTGGATGGTAGGCGGTCGTTCGGAAGCGAGTGATTCCTAAAAGCGTGGTCAGACGACGGAAAAGATCGGATTCAAACTGACGTCCGCGGTCTGTAGTAATGGTTGAAGGGCAACCGAAGTTTGCTACCCATCGTTCGACGAAGGTGCGGGCCACTGTTTCAGCAGTGATGTCCTTGATAGGTACTGCTTCTGGCCATCGAGTGAAACGGTCAACGCAGGTTAGGAGATAAGAGTATCCATTTGAATCTGGTAAAGGTCCTACCAAATCCAAATGAACATGGTCGAAACGAGCATCGGGAGTTTTAAACGCGCCTAAGGGATATTTATTGTGTCTGATAACCTTAGATTTTTGGCAGCTTACACAGGAGCGTGCCCACTCCCTCACGTCTTTATTCATGCCAGGCCAGCAAAACCTATCTGCAATAAGCTTGATGGTTGCACGAACACCTGGATGCGAAAGTTTGTGCAATGTGTTGAAGACATTGCGTCGATAATGTTTCGGCACGATTGGGCGATCCCTACCTGTAGATGTGTCACAAAGTAAGGTTTCCTTACCCGTTCCCATCTGTTTGATGCGTAGTTTAAGTGTTGTGGACGATAACTCGTGCTGAAGATCACTGTCTTCTTTTTGAAGCTCGGCGAGTTTAAGAAGGTCGATTCCTTGGAAACTGTTCAAGGAAGTTATGCGAGATAAGGCGTCTGCAACTACATTGTTTGCTCCAGAAATATGTTGAATATCTGGAGCAAACTGCGAAATGTAGTCTAGTTGTCGAGACTCACGGGGAGAGTACTTGTCTGAAGGAGAGCTTAACGAGAAAGTGAGCGGTTTATGGTCCGTGAAAAGAGTGAATTCACGGCCTTCGATGTAGTGTTGGAAATGCCGTACAGCACAATACATAGCTAGGAGTTCCCTACCGAATGTGCTGTACCTCGATTCGGTGTCTAGCAACCTTCTTGAGAAAAATGCCAAGGGTTGCCAGGAGTTGTTAACCCATTGTTGTAAGACTCCTCCGATTGCCGAGTCGGATGCGTCTACTGCGATGCTAATGGGTGCTCGGGTGTCCTGATGTGCGAGCATCGTTGCTTTAGCGATCAGTTCCTTAACTGTGGAGAATGCTTTTCGTGCGGTGTCGTCCAAATTAATGGATTTCGCATTTCCACGAAGTTGGTCGGTCAGAGGTTTCATAAGTAATGCGCATTTCGGTATGAAACGTCTATAGAAACTTACCAGGCCGTTAAACGTGCGTAATTGCTTGACGGTGGTCGGTTCTGGGTAATCCAGAATGGCCGCCACTTTGGTCCTAAGAGGTCGAATGCCTTGAGCATCGATAGTGTGTCCTAGGAAGTCTAACGAGTCGGTTCCGAATTGGCATTTCTGAACGTTTACAGTTATGCCATGTTTTTGAAGTCGTTCGAAAACAAGATCCAGATGCTTGAGATGTGTTTCTCTGTCCGGACTTGCGATTAGACAGTCGTCAACATACGCGTGTACGAAGTTGAGACCTCGAAAAACGTCGTCTATGAATCTTTGGAATGTTTGAGCAGCATTCCTTAGACCGAAAGGCATTCGCAAAAATTCATAGAGTCCGAAAGGAGTTATGATAGCTGTTTTCGGTATGTCGTCAGTAGCCATAGGGATTTGGTTATACGCTTTAACCAAGTCGATTTTCGAAAAGACAGTTGTACCTTTCAAGGTAGCTGTCAAATCATGAATGTGAGGCAACGGGTAACGATCGGGAATGGTTTTCGCGTTCAATCGCCGATAGTCACCAGTTGGACGCCAATCGTTGCTGTCCTTTTTAGGGACCATGTGCAACAGAGATGCATATGGGCTACTTGACGGTCGTATGATTCCTAAGTCCATCATGTGATCGAATTCGTTTTTCGCTAACCTTAGCTTTTCAGGAGCTAGTCGTCGTGCTTTAGAGAATACAGGTGGTCCTGTAGTCGTGATGTGATGTGTAACATTGCTGGTTACACACGGTAGTTTCGGTTGAGTTTGTTGTATCCCAGGGTACTTATCGAGTAGTGGTTGATAGAGTGGGTCTATCATATGTTTAACTGTGACTGGGGATACTCTACAACCAGTAAAAGAAGTTACGCAAACGGACAAATTAGTGTTTCCGTCTACTAGCCTCCGTTTGCGCGTATCGATGATCAGATTGTGGTGTTGTAGAAGGTCCATACCAATGATTGGCATAGAAACATCTGCAACAACGAAAATCCAGTGGATGGGTTTGCGTAAACCCACGTTAAGGTAAACGTACCTTTTGCCATACGTAGCGATCGGTTTTCCGTTTGCCGCCTGTAAGTTTAGGGTCGATTCGTGTAGTCGGTCGTTAGGATTTGCTGGGAGAACGCTAACTTCTGCACCAGTGTCGACGAGGTAACGAACTCTCGTTGTCACATCTGTGACGAATAACAGACGGCTTTGTTCGCCGGCTACGGTTGCCGTTAACGCGTGCCGACTTGGAAGTTTCCCGAATTGCTTTTCGAATCAGTCGGTTTCGTGTTTGGAAAATTGCAGGGTTTTCTGCAATTTCTGGAAAACTTTCCATACTGGTTATGATACCAGCAACAGTCGGGGTTATCTGTCTCTCGTGGTCTAGAGACAGATCGCTTACGAGAAATGCTTCTACGTGGTGTCCGCGATCTCTTACGGTCGGTACGAAGACTAAGATAACGCGTGAGTGTGTGACATAAGTCGGTTAAATCATTCTGAGTCGTGTGAGGCTTTTCTTTGACTGAAAATACCTCGGTTGTAGGTTTCGTAATTTCTAGAATGCGGTCGGCAGATGCAGCTAGTTCGTCTAAGGCGTTGTTCTGGAACGAGACCAGAACTGCTTGCACCTGTTGGGGAAGTTTTGACAAAAAGAGTTGTTTGAATAGGCCTTCGTCGAAAGTTCTTGGGCCTATTACCTCTCTCATCCGTTGCAACATGTCTGTCGCAGAACCGTGTTGCAGGTCGATATTGTTGAAGAGTTGATCTAACCTTTGTCGATCGGTTAGGTCTCGTTTAAGAATCGAGCGTTTTAAGATTTCGTAAGGATCGGAAACATCACTAGTAAACATACTAGGTGTTACGTACCTGTTGAATTCGCGCGGTAGTGCCTTGACTACTGCGAGGAATTGTGCACGTGTGTCGATCACGCCGTGCTCGTGGAAGTCGGCTTCTGCGTAGCAAAACCAGGCTTCGATGTTGTCGGGCCAGAAAGGCATCAGTTGAAACGAAGGCGGGGACAAAGTCTTAAGCTTGAGTACTTTAGGTGTCTGTTCAGTCATGATGAAGTATGAAGTGCGATAATGAACGAGGGGAAAATATATATCCAGGAAAAAACACGAAAAAAAATCACAATGTTTAAAAAAGTTAAAAAAAAATAAGGCAATGATATATAAAAATCCCAAAAAGGAACAGACTCACAGTTGCAATTAGGTGTACCAGATCACGTCGGTTTCACCAATGATGATGTCACAGGTATTCAGTGTTTGACAACGCTTCTACCAGTAACACCTTCTAATATATTTCGTTCCCGCCCAGAGAAATCAAAAGACAGAGTCGAGGAGATCGGAAGAGTATATTTGGCGATGACCAATATATCGGAATTCTCTGATCTAATCTGGCTAGCGATTGCGGTTGATGTTGAGCACGGCGTTACCACACGTGATCTGGTGCGGATGACTGACCGAGCGCCTTCAGCTAGGTGAGTCCACTAAAACATATGGTCAGCATCCAATGTCGAAAACTTAGTGCTATTTATTTTGGGGATTTATTTACCGCTACACTGTCAAGTTTGAGTTTGTTTTTTGTCGTCCCTACAACGACAGATATTACTCGCGTTTTCATTCTGTATGAAGTCTACTGATATATTTCCAAATTATAGACCTTCCAGCTATCTCACTAGGCAACTATGAACTGGAATAAGCGATAATTTATATGCAACTTATGAAAGCCCGGAAAATTCGACTGAAATATTTACAACACATTGTAGGTTTTTGGTGTATAGTTTTTAGACATTTTCCTTGCCTTCTAAGTCTATCAATTTGCCGTACACGGAAACTAGAGGTTTGATTGTTACAGTGCACAATAATACCAGCACACAAGTTGGAAAGTATTAAATGCAATCATAGATAGTAATTTTATGTTTCAGTACACCGGGTAATCTGTTTACGTGGATTGACAACGAAGACTGATCTCATTTTAGTCTTCGTATGCATTATAGCACATGAACATATTGCCAAAGATGTAAGTTAAATCTGTAGTTGAATTGGGATTACCAATTGTAGCGTGGCGTCGAGTTGAGATTAACTATGAACACCGCTACCAAGAAACACGTGCCAATTAGATCAGAAGGCGTAAGAAGCTCGTTCCAAATGACTCCATAAAATCCCCGAGAAGCCAAATATCAGAAGACAGTTAATGGACCAAGTCGATGTTTATTTGCTGGCGATCTCGTGGCATCGAAAGGATACCGAGATCGTGCCAGGATACAAGCTCGGTTACAGAAGGTAACCGAATTCGCGCGAAGTTACAATCAAAGTGTAAGTATATTAATGGAAGCACAAAATAGCTGTCATTAGCACAGTCAAACAAAAGCACGTTAAAACAAACACTGGTACAGTTGGTTATAGTAATTGTTTTTATTAAACCAGTCGTGTTCTCGTGATAAACGTGAGTCACTACAAATCTTAACTGCTGGGATCTGCATAATTTATGTACTTGATAGTTAACTGAATACACGTTGTTAAGTGAAAACCAAAGTACTCAGGAACAATAACTTCTGTAGCAGTTTGTTTCATGTTTGTGGTTGGCGAAAGGATTAGAAATTGTACCTATACTCGTTTGCTTAAAAAGCATATACATCTAATCTTCTGGCATGGGAAGATAATAATCATGTTTCAGATATTTAGTCTTCACATCACTTATGTGTCCTATAACTTTAAGACTCAAAATATAATATTCATCAGGCCTAATGTTACAACTGCCAGGAAAAAGCATGAGGCTGCCATAACAATGTGATGGTGTAACAACTGAGGTTTAATGGTTAGGAGTTGACCAAAAACATCTAAATAAATTTCAGAACACTAAAGCTCAAGTATTCACTAACTTCCTTATTTTGTGTAAAGATAATATTTCTTATTATTGTATATTAAAAATTTATAAACACTAGGTGTTTATAAAGGTTTCCTCGCGCTACACTTTGTGCTGTCCAACGATCTAAATAAAGACCTGTTCACTGCTAGTCTGGTTTCTTGCATCAGGGGTACCCACCGTCACGGAAATAGTTCTGATGACTTTCGCGCTATATATAGCTGGGTTATATTCTACTTTCTTCACCTTTTTACCATAATAACAGTATGCTAAACACCCGTGTGATTATTTTGACTTTTCTTAGAAATATTATGCTTGATTACCCAATTAATTTTTTTAAAATGAACTAACGTATTTTGGGAAGTGATGCTGAAGGAACATCTAAGATATTAATTAATTTGCTACTATTTGAAGAAAGGTCTCGTAATTTTGGTTTTACTTTTACAGATTTGTTTCAGCATAGTAGGATAACTTTCGTTAAACGACCCAACTTTACTCGTTCGTTACTGATGAACACTTACATTTTGTGGAAAAGCTACTTTTTTAAAAGTAAGCGTTCGTTTGTCACATTTTTTCTAAGTGCATCTAAGCTAACTGCATGTTGGAAGTACTGGTTTGTATTACTCAAGTTAACTATCTTAACAAAAACCAGTGAAATATTGTGTGGAGTCGAGTCGCGGTTGACTATGATCACCACTACAGGAAGACTGCGTGCCGGTTAACCGATAAGATCCCCCGTAGGCCAAATATCAGAAGGCAGTTGATGGCTGTAGTCGAGATTTATTTGTTGGCGATCTCGTGGTATCGAAAGAATAGCGAGGTCGTGCCAGGTTACAAGTGTGGTTACTGAGAGTAACCGAATTCGTGCAATGTCACAACCCACGAAAGAATGTATGTATTCTGGTACACTTAAACAAACAAGTACGGTAAAACAATCCCTGGTACAATTGGTTATATTATTAATTGTTTCCAATACGCCAATCGCGTTCTCTTGATAAAAGTAGGTCACTACACTATACACGTTGCGGACTCAAAAACAATCCATATTCAGTTGACATTTATTATTCGCATTATAAAAATATATATAAAGATGAAAGTTATTAGTAGCTTTCAGTAAATGTTTCGTATCAGTAGACACTAAAGGTATGGTTGCATCTACGTCGATAGATATCGAATTAATACGCACGTCTCAAATTTTCGTAAAAAACTGATGTTTCTGTTGACGCTTTCACATAACCATAGTTATTTGAAACGTGGCAGTAACCATAAGAATCCTTGTTGGTTATATGGAAATACGAAATATTGATATGATTTTCATAATACATCAGCTTACCTCACGATGAAATAGGATCATGTATGGGGTAGCGATAAAACGGGACGTACACGTAAACCTGTGAAACGGTAAGAGACGGCAGTAGGCTATCTATTAGAGAGGGATTTCAACCTTTGAAAAAGTTACACACCGCATATGCACACTAAGTCAGCAGATGCGTCATAAGTTTTCGCAAAGTATTTGACCAAAGTAGTGAGAGAAACAGTACTTACTACTCTCAACCTAAGTAAATAAGTTTGGTGAATTTTATTGTTCATTCTAGCAACAAAATCTCCTAGTAAACTCATCGTAACGTTAACGCTACATTAGTTTCCCATTTTGTTTTATCGACACAGTTAAATAAAGCAAGCGTTGTAGCATATATATATATACTACGGCAAATCCTCAGGTCTGATGAAAATTAAAACTGTTTTTCATACCTACTTGTTGATATGATCGGGACATCATTTGATTAATGCATCTTCATTGCAGGCAACTGCAACGAAGGTTTACAGGCTCACGTGAAAGTAACAAATTAGTTTCTTAAGTGGTATCCATTACGCACTGATATCACTAACGATACCATTGTAAACCATTTGTTTCATCTTCGTATAGGTCTACTTAGTAGTGCGCACCCACAATCCCCCCAAGGATCAACTACCGACTTTTTTTATGGTACTACTCCGAAGTCAGTCAGTGACAAACACCATATGAAAATCAAACGAATCTAACTACCAAATTTGTCAAGAATGATGGTCCTATCTACTCACTTATATACATAGATCACACTAATTTCTAAAGTTTTTATCAAGGAGACTATAATAGTAATAACTATAATTATAATGAAACAATATATCATACATCACTAACCATACTCAGTAAGTAGAAGAAAAAGATGGTCTCTTAGTTAAGCATCTAAATCGGAAATCGGGAAAGCCACAGATTTAAAAACCGGGTAATATAAAATATTTCTGAACGACGGTAAAATGTTAACTATTTGCAAATAATATTTTCACGGTGTACTTCAAACAAATGTTCAGGACTATGAGTACCGTGTTGTTTCACTAACCGTACAGTTATTTTACTTCTTCCGTGTTAATATGATTGACATGATAAAGTTTCTTTTCATGCCTACATGTAAGTATACAAGTGAAATGTAATACTACAATTCAAAATAACATGAATTGCAATAAGTATCAACTACGTCATTGTTTATATTGAATTAGGTAAAATATTTCTATTATTATATTTACTGTGGTATGCAAGAAACTTACACTGTTTTCGGGTTTTTAATACCTATACTTTATCACAAACTGTTCAGATTTCTCCTCGACAAGATTTTTAAAGTAAAAAGCTATTAAAATGAGATTTTGGGAGAGTTTGTCTGTTAGTTATGATCAGAAAACGAATAACAGATTAATATAAAACTTACAGGTAAACTATGTCGACGTACCACGAAACAACCATTTGATGAAACCGTTTAATGAACAATATTTACGATTTGTAAAGATAAGTTTTGACCAGTTAGTTTTTTTCTTATTCTCATCTCAACAGTTGACTGAATAAAACACCAAAGACTGCTTTTACAACAGTACTTAAAATCAACAATGAATTAGAATTTTATTCGAATCCAAACTTTGAGTCACCTGATAACTAACAAAAGTAATATTTCTCTTATTTAGATTGTAGGATTATGAAGAGAGAATATTTTCTGCGCTTAGTGTTAACGACTGGATAAGGGAAGATATCACTTAAGGGTTTTGGTATATGAAAAGTTAAGCTAAAACCAGTATAAATCTAGCGCTTAAATAGTCAGTCAGGATTTTTACGAACATTTAAGGAAATAACAGTTGATTTTCGTCCTAATGAATTGAGGTTTTCTGAATGATAACTTAGGTGGAATTAGACTGACTCACTGTTAAATCAGCGTATAATTCACAACCTACCTAATTCATGTAGCTCGTCCATCGTAACTGCCTTTGTGTTCACTGAGTCATCGGCTTATGTTTCCTCGAGTTGTCTTGAATTTTATATTTCTGTTTAAACGGTTATTTTTTTCATTTCCTTACAATCTATTATCAGGAAACATACAAGTCTACCGAAATTTGGATTTGAGGTCTCCATAGTAAAACACTTAAAACTATGTTAGATTATTTTAAAGAATTCACAACCAACCCTGGATCTAGGTTTATTGTAAAAATGAACTTTATAAATAACCACTAGATCTTTTGTTCTCCTAATACAAATTATTTTCATAATCATCAACAGTAAATGTTTCATGAAAATAGTAGGTTATTTCTCCGCTAGATCTGAGATCCGTTCCAAAAGCAGAACTACTCAAAATTACTTTGCACTTTATAATGACCCGAACTTTGTTGACCCAACTATCGTCAAAGAATTTAAAACCAAGAGTAATACAATAGTGCTGATGTATTTCACACGAACCAATTAAGTCAACCCAATGGGAGTAATAGCTTAGTGTTCAAAAACAAGGAAGTGCCCCAATATTCAATCCCCAAATGAGCAAATAAAAAGTAAACTCTCCAAAGGTTCATTTAAATGTGAAGCAATGCTAACACAAAATAGAAACGGAGCTCTGAAGCAGGATCTACTACTAAATGTCGAGTTTTTACTGTTCAGTTCTTTTAATTTTGGACAGAAACGACCTTTTTCTTTTGGCTTACAGACTTTTTTAACAAACCCCACGATAATGCTTGTAATTACACACTGATTATATTTTGGACTTACCAACTAAGTATTACTTGCTTCTCACTGTTTATGTTATGAATTGTGTACACTACTTACCACTTCAAATACAAATCCAAGTCATTAAGAAAATGATTCTAGATAGCTGCTAACGTATTCAGCCTGGTTGATATTTTATTTGTAGGTGCTTGAGCTTCCCTTTGCTGATATTTAGGACTGAAAATGATCAATCTCTTTTGGGATATATTCACTCTGTGTGGATGCCAATATAGTTGCGAGTCTTAGTAATATTTGGGTTATGGCTAGTAATAGAGTACAGAACGTCTGTATTTTTCTTACACAGGACTCTTCAAAAAAACATCACCTGCATCTCACTGTTGATGTTCACATCGAGATTTAAACTCAATACCCATAAGTCCGAATGCTAGAAAATCACACATTAGGTTAGTGATTCATGACAAACGCCAGCATGTTCAATGAAAAGGACTCTACTACTATCCAATATTAAACATACAAAATGAGCTGAAATTTATTTTTCTTTCTTAATCTTTTATTTAAATGTACTTATTGGTGTAGAAAAGTTTGTTATACTGAATCAAAGTTATAATTTCATTGCTTCCCGTTATAACAGTGGAAGAAAATTGTTGTACAGCTTTTTTCATCTTATATTAAAACTAGTATCAATCTACTCTACTCCACAGTATTTTCTGATATTAAAAGGATGAAAAGTGAAGGAAAAATTAGAAATATTGATCAGCCCAAATTATTCTCCTCTTTAGACTAAAAAATTGATTTCAGAAATGATCCAGGTATTACGAGTTCATAGAAAGATAACTAGTATGATGAGTATGAATAAAGCTATAAAAAAGAACTTAATACCGTAATTTCATGATCATTATAGACAAAACGAGTGACAAGTATTTAGTTGTTTAGGTAACAATAAGCAGTATATTCACATTGACTTCTTAGAATTATACATATATATATGTATATATATAACATTCCTCTGTGAAATCTTTTCTAACTGCTATTGAATTAGCTCTTACTATGAATTCGGTGTTCATCTTGTTATGCCAATGAGGTATGGCAACTACGAACGATGAATCTATGTTCCTGGTCCTACGTTGTAGCTGACCGATCGACTGATTAAAATAATATCAGAACAGCATGAAATCTATTCGAATAGACAGATTTAAATCTTGAACTGTTGGTCAAATTAATTGACTGAATACTATTACATAACCTTGGGTAATTCGGCGGACATGTACGAAATGAATAAAATAACTACCAGTATGATGACGTAACTATAAGGGGACAAGTCATTCAGAATGAAGAAAACGACTAACAACATTTGCTCAAAATCCGAGACTGAGTGAATCTTACATTACGTCACATAAAAAGCGGAGCACAAATAGCTTTGTAAAATAAGTGTTAAACGTGCCAACTAATCGTTTATTCTAATGTAGACTGCATATAACATGTAAATTAACGAAATTTTATTTTTCTTTGCTCACAATAAGATCTAACAACCAACGTCCTCACTTAATGATAGGTGAGCTAGTAAAGTAGGAATGACAAAATAGGTAACGGTTTCTACTTATGAGTTCTTCATATGATCGTTGTCATGCAATTCCAACCTCGTAATCCTACGCAGAATTTACAAATAAAGACTTTGTCTGATGATGAATTTTCCATAAAACTATTTATAGCTATGGATAAGATTCAGAAAGAAACTCTCAGTTCGGATATTTTCACGATGGAGAATATCTTCATCAGTAATAATCAGGTATGCAGCCATATTACTACAATATCAAAATCGAAAAGTTGATGAAAAGTCTAGAAAAATTAAGCTTCCTGAAAACACTAAACTCTACCACGTTTCATCGATTCCGATAGGAAATACTTTTGATTGGTAGACTCTCTGCACATTGGGTGAAAAGTGGCTTCAAAATCACAAGTATCCTATTGACTTGTCCTCATAGTACAATTATTTCATTATTTAAATGAACCACTTTATCTTCCACATTAGTCATTCTGTGATTGTGTCGAAGAACTTTGGGTCAATTAACCAATGTATTCTTCATAATCCAACTCGTCAAAAATCCAAACCGTAATCAACTGATGAAACCAGATTATGACAGGTTTTATACTGCTGGTGAAGCGCCAGTTAAGAAGAAACAGTAATTTAGTACGATTCAATTCATTAGTAACTGTCAGTAAATCCATAACAAAATAAAATAACAGACTATATTTAAGAATTCATATGATTTATTACATTTAAAAAGTTGTCGACCATCATAAGTATTGAGAAATAAAAATACGTACTAAAATCATCTGAAATAAATACAATCCTTTCATGTGACTTTAATTACTTATTGCAAAACAAGATTTATCTTATCATTTAAATAATAATTAAATTAATTTTCTTAAAAGTAAGCAAATAATAATTTTCAGAATTACTTTACAGTAAGATACAATTATTTATGACCACTTTGGAAGAGGCACAAAATCCATCCTACATGTACCAGTCACCAAGTTGTTACGAGTTTATGCATACCATGTTAAGGTAAACATGTACTTATCATGAAGTACTAAACAATAGGGAATGGCATCACCTCTGAAAAGAGGTAATCTGGACTCATCAAGTTAATTTTTTGTTTTCCTTCTATTTTAAACGGAAGCATAAAGATCTTAACTATAAAAAATTAAACGACACTACACTACTGGCTTTGCACTTGGGGTAACAATAGTACTCAAACCTTCCCGTCAGACAATACTGTGTGAAAAAAGCTTCTGTTGGTTTCGGCTTTATATTATAAGATAGGAGAAAAACCTACTAGATGTCTGAATATATGGTAATACCCTGATCAGTGATACTGTTGGTATTAAACTTGGTTTCCACCAAAATACTAACACCATAGTATTTCTTAATTCAATATTGTCACAAATGTCCCCTATGAACGAACTTAATAAAAATCTAGGGGCTTAGACTGTTTTATAAACCTTCTAATAGCAAATACAGGATGCTTCGTATACCGAAACCCATTTAATGATTCATAAACGTTAATTAATTGGCACTCTTGTTTAGACAACCAGTTAGTATGTTAATGGCAACTGTATGCTTAATGAATCTATTTTTATCGTAAAGTATACAGTCGTTAAACCTGTAATGTGAATTAATTTTATTTAGACTTACACATCCTCTATACATCGCATGATTTGGGACGAGTATAAATCTCGAATCCTCATCAGTTCGAAGTAACCTAGGAACCCTTTTTTTAGTTGTAAACTTTGATTTATTATCACCTAACAATTTACGTTAACTCGTAAACTAGTGTGTTATTACTTATCAGCGTGGACAGATTGTCATTGAAAAAAAGATGTAAATCATTTAAAGAACATTCCTATCATTTGCAAAATATGCACCACTGTTGGACCTTAAACTAGGGCAGTTATTCAATTGTTTTTGATACATCAAGGTCTTAATGACTACTCAGAAAATCATTGGAATCTTCGAAGTAAACCATCGTATTGAGCAATAACAAACTGATGTTCATTAGTAGCTTCTAACAAGATGAATGTCTTGATAACCCGGTTACAAAAGCTAAGATCTCTTACATTATTGAAACCATAAAGAAAAGAAAGTTGTCATTTGCTTATACTGAAAATGAACAGCGAAATTTATTGTTCTCTGATTAGAATATTAATGGGAATTAGTTGAAGTTGTTTTAGGTCACTGATTGCTATAAATTATTCAACAAAAATAGACAATCTCAGCATTCTGGTTTATTTTCTTTCTACAATGATTAAACTTTTATATACGGCTGTGAAGAATCAGTTAACTTGGTTTCACAAATCAAAGAAAACGATGCAAACACACAGGTAATTGATGCATACTAACTGACTAGTTATAATGTACGGTCGATACAATATAGAAAACTGAATTGATTATAATTAAGAATCTCCTTTGGGACATCAATGATACAACAGTAAAATGCAAACATGTAGGCTAAGTATACGAAAAACATTTATTCATTATTCATAATATATGTATTTTTAACTGTTCTTGATATCCTTAATTTTTTCAACTAATTTTTACTCAAAAACTAACAAATTTGCTTGAATCAAGAACGCCAGGTATTTCGATTCAGTGCGAATTTTTATAGCCCACATAACTAGTTAATCACCATTTGGATGCAGTCGGATCAGAAAAGTAAAGAACAGTTTACATTATATAAACACATACTTCGTTGACAAACATAATAATGATCTTCACCAGAAAAAAAAAGAACACGTTCATTAAATTCAGCCTTTGATGAATATGGTTAAACAGAGTAGTACTATCGGTACAATTTTTTAATAAGCATATTCTTTTCAACCACTTCTTTCAATAATGTGGATTGGTGAAAATAAACACGGGAAATGGATGGGTGGATAATAAGTGATTAGTTTAAGGCTGTAAAGCAGAGGATAAAAAGGACGTGGATTTGTTAAAAATGTGTTAGTGACGCTCCAACCAGAACTAACATCACAAAGGTATTAGCAATTATAAACGATGATTTACATCAAACTTCATACCATTTCATCGTCTAAACTTTCACTAAGCAGGAAATTCGCAGCTGCATCCTCATTTTTCTCGCATGCGTAATATGCCTACGAAAAAATAGGTTAAAACATCGTTACCGTACTTTGTGGAACAAATCTTTATAAAAATTGATTACAAAATCAGTATGATTCATTTTTGGAATTTACGTACGTGGCGTGTACCCACGTGAAATCTTTTATTTAGCAAAAAATGTATCATTTCTTATTCAGACTTTAACACTAAACTGATAAAGGACAATCTGCTGTTCCCAAATGACGCTTTTGTCATTGTGCTGCTGTAAATTGTAATAAATCACGCTGGGACAAGTTTGTGCTAAATTTTATGTTGTGTGCGATTGACTTATGCTTTGAGGACTTTAAAATATACAGCACAATTGAAAGCTGATTGTCAAAAATTAACTAGACATAAGTGGTCACTCATTACATGAAACCAAATACAATTATGATGTACGAGTTCGTCTTGATAGACCTGCCATACACAACAGATATCACAAAGCAATCAACCAAGTTTGCGAATGTTATCTCCCCAAGTTATGTGACCTATTAAAAAGCGATTTTACAGATTCATGAAAACAAACAACCAGCAGCAAACACTATGGTTTATGATCATACGAAATTATGATTTGGATTTTTAAGAAGTGGAACAAGGTATGGAGTAGTACAGTTAGAGTTCAGTTTACCAACACTAAATCAAATATTACGGTTCCAATACAAAATGTCACATGTACAAAACTAAGGTTAAGAGAAGTTTCGCTATATGCTCTTCAACACTGACCCCATCGAGTTAAAGACTTTCGATGATTCTATGTTAAATTATTCTTATCACTGAATTCTCATTATTCTATACCAACACTTAAATTGAGGTCAATGTGCGAAAAATGCCTGAGCTTAACGGCGAACATGATACAAGAATTGTTCTATTGGGACATCAACATTGATCAATCTTGTTTTAAGAGCTTTTAAAGCTTGCGTCGTAAGCTGACGCTAAAAGTCGGTAGAAAGATGCTAAGGAACGATATGATAGAATGGTTATTTCATAGTAATTGGGTGTATTTCGACTACCCCCTGCATAGTTTTGTAAACTACGCAATCTGGCGAATAGAATCAGTTAAACAAACAAAATACACAATTAATAAGCTAACAAAAAGTGACTGATGTGAAAATTTCAAAATGTATATGCGTATAACCAAAAGCTTCAGCTTGAATCTCCTTGTCTTTCGTTTTCGGTCGAACCTGACATCCTTTGATCTACTCCCATAGCAAAATAGTACTAGGTACAGCTTCCGAAACTGGATGTGACGTATAGCATTAAAACAAATTTAGTTCCGTGATTATGTTCTTCACACACCAAATAGCCTTATCACTACTAGAAGTTTTCACTAGGGGATAGAAATCACGGAAATTATAGGAATCAAGTACGGATAACCGTCGAAAAATTCAAACCTACAATCAAAAAAGATTAAGGGTAAATGGCATAACCCCACATAATAAAGTGCCACGAAACGAATCATTGGTACAGAGATAAAGTAAATAAAATTTGCTTAAACTTGCTTAACTTGGACTATATGGAATGTAAACTTATCTGCAGTAAGCACGTAACAGCTCAAAAACAACTTAAATATATTAACTATTGTAAGTCATACCTCGGTTAAGGCGAAAAGAGTGCTCGAAATAGATTATGGTTAATGAAAATACTGTGAGTTAAGTTTGGAAATGACGTACGCTCTATTATTTACTTAGTTTATGTAACCTAACACACTTGGTCAAGTGAACATGTTTACATTTTCGTAATATCGTCAGCCTAGCGTCTAACAAAAGACTGCTTGTTCTATATTTGTGAGGAAAGACAATGCTTCTAATGGTATCGCAAAGAGTAAACGAAGTATTTTAGAAGTTTAATTCACCGGTGTTTATGTTTGGTTCTTAACAATTTTTTTATTGGGTTTGTATCATATCAAAACTAGCTGTATGAGTCATTTATACTCAAAAAGATATCTAAATACTGGTTTCTGGCCTTTTATGTAAATATTTTAGTTACTGATCAATGGGAATGACGGCAAGAGTAAATATAGTGTCTATGAGATAAGTGATAAAATATTAAAGAGCAAACAAGAGATGACAGTGATATTGAAAATATGGATGATCATTGCTTCTTGATTGTCAACAGCATATAAGGAAATGTCAATTGAAGTACAAATTAAAAAATAGAATAGGGTATCCGGTTTTCAAGTGAGCATTCAGCATTTTGATGCTAAGATTACCATACATTATTTCTACTAAGTGAATTACAGTTAAAAGATGGTCTAACTGAAACAAAATGTGTAGTCGCAGTTCCCTGATCACCGGCTTTAAATTCTAGATAAACCAGTAAATGAGTTTCTGTTCATATAGTTATTACTTTATTTAACCGCATTGAAAGTCAGTTCCCTTTCCAGGATTTCACTTCTTATTAGTATAGACAATATTAGGACAATGAGAATACTTTGGATGGTTAAGACTTAGTTGTGGTCCAATATAAGCTAGCCTAAAAACTATCTGAAACCATCCTACCAGTAGCACTGCTTCCAGTGAAGCTTCGTCACATTTTTGCCATGTCACGAACGACGGTTTAGTTGGTGGAGCAGTCGATTAGATTCGTCAATCCTTAAAGACTCGAAATTAAGTAGACAAACTCTTACCCGATAATTTATACAAAAATGAGCGAAATATGTAATTAATTACTTGGAACAGAAACAGCCTATTATAAAGTTTCGAAAGAAACTACTGACACTAGATACATTTCTTGAAAACTTACTTGGATAACTAACTCCTCCGGGAACCCTAATGCCTTTAGACGGTCCACAGCAGCGCGTTCCTCAGCAGTCATAGTAAGAACAGTTTGACGCTGACCACCGGGTCGAGTAGTACCAGTGACTGGGGTATTAATAAATTCCAGAAATGCTTGTTCGTTTTCTTGAATGAGCTAAATAAGTTACATATTTTAAAATTACAATTATATAAGTATCATCTGTATGCTCATTACTACTAAAAATATTGAATCATTCGAATAGTTAGTTATTTTATCAACAGTGGATATTTGACATTATTGGGAGCATCCCCTTTGATGGAACATGCATATTATACAAACTGAAAGACTATAAAAAACGATTGGGACGAAGAAACACTTCAGGAGAATAAATGGGTTAGCCAGGATGAGGTGCTAACCAAGTCAGGCCAAAGCATTTCATATCTCGATTTCACTAACACTGATATGAAGATTTAGTACATTTAGCCATACAAGTCTTAGCTGTCAACACGACCAAGAAGTAAAACGTTTAAAGCATATGTAACACTGCATAATTCATGAGTAACCTCAAAAGTGAACCTGATTAACGGTGATTGTGGCACATACCCATGAGACTTGGAAAAACAATTAATGAATCCAAGATCTAGATATAACGCCAAACCCTGGAAAGTTGTCAGAAATTCCCAGTTGCGAGATTAGTCTGCAACTATTAAATGCTTGCATAATTATTATAAAAACATTATAAAAATTCGTGAGAAAATGCTAAGAAAAACATACTCTAAATAAATCTGCATTATCATTCCCTATTTGCTGGATTAGCTGAGGCAGTAGCTCTGGATTTGCCTGTACTAGCGCTCTCATTTGTTGAAACTGAGGTAAACTTGCGAGTGCAGCGATCGGGTCTTCTGAGCCAAGAGACTCAGAGCCTGGGGTATCAGTATCCCCAGGCCCTTCTGGAGATACACTTTCAATTTCTTCCCTTTGCGGTGGCTGATCAACAATGTCAACATTAGGAATGTTTCCCGACGAAAGGTATTCAAATGCTCTATCTGGGTTGTTGAAGCCTGCTCGCATTGCTTGGATAACCTAAATTTGCCATTATTATTTTACAAGAGACTGACCAGTGATCTCTCGAAACCCATGGACACTAGTTCTTTTACAACCCGCTCAAAGTTCTCTCCGGTAACTAAGGAACTCTCTCCAAAACCCAAAGTATTTGTTGCGCTAGGTGGGGCTGTTGTAATTGTAGGTAAGTTAGATTGGGGATTTGAGTCTGGTTTACTGCTCGGCGCTTCATTTGCTTCTGTTACGGGGCTGTTTTTGTCTGTTGTTGGCTTTGTTTCACCAGTAGGATTAATTTGGACTGAAGCGCTAGCTTCTTTCGTTGTATCTTTGGATGGCTTTGAGACAGACATTACTACAACGAAACCAGATTCTGTCACTTTGTAATCTTTTAGCGATTTACTATCTTCCATCACCTTGCCTAAGTAATGTAACAAGCTATAACCGATAATTTACCTGAGTGTATTAGTTTCTGAGTCTTTGCATCGAATTCGCTGCCCCATTTAGCTTCGATCTTCTTTTTAACGTCGCCAACCTACGTACAATATCACACCAACCTGTGAATTACCAGATCATCTTCTTGAAAGTCAAGAACAAATGTCTGCTGCATTAGTGTTTTGAAAGTAACTTTCATTGCGTTGAGAAAGAAACGACTCGAGAGTGGAAATCAAAGAGATAGCCACGGCACACTGACTTAAAGCTATAACATTCAACGCAGTGAAAGAAAAATTCAAACAGACAATCTTAAATAATAACTTATCGAAAATTGAGTGATTAATTCCCTCGGCTTAAATCAATTAGTTGTATACTTTAAAATGAAGCACTCCACGTAGGATACTGGCTGAAGCGCGGTTTTCAAATGGGTCTTGACATTTTCTTTTGAATCTAGTAAATACAAATTCTGGGGTTTCATTCAACATCTCTGATGCAATCCTGATTTTCTTCAGATTACTTTGACTTACCTTAAACCAAACTTAACAAATCATATTCAAGCCAATAGTCCATAACTGGAGTATCACAAGAAGCCATATGGGACCCCTTTTGTCCCTCATATTTATCATGACTTCCCAGGAAGCCTCATCTCATCAGTCACCATCCATGTGGATGAAATCAAGTTATGGTTTGCTATCAAAAATGATGGGGATTCACTAGAACTTAGAAGAGATTTTGTGTCGTTTGAGGAGTGAACGCGAAACAACGTTTTGAGGTTTAGCTTCAAAAAGTTCAAAAAGATGTTATTTTGAACTACCAAAGAAAATCGGGACAACTGTTTCCTCTATTGCTTAAACCCCACTAGAATCGATTTGGAGTGCCACTTATGTGTCGTACTAATGAAATTCGATGACATCAGCAATAATCCGTGAGATGTAACTGAGGCCAAAACTATTCCTCACCTCGTTCTCAGACAGCTAGACATGCTAGCTCCTGAGTTCCTTTCAACACTTGTCAAGACGTGCACCACCCATAACTCGAACTCCATAACACCGCTGCATCTCCTTGTAGCGGTAAATAAATCCCCAAAATATATAGCACTAGGTTTTCGACATTGGATGCTGACCATATGTTTTAGTGGACTCACCTAGCTGAAGGCGCTCGGTCAGGCATCCGCACCAGATCACGTGTGGTAACGCCGTGCTCAACATCAACCGCAATCGCTAGCCAGATTAGATCAGAGAATTCCGATATATTGGTCATCGCCAAATATACTCTTCCGATCTCCTCGACTCTGTCTTTTGATTTCTCTGGGCGGGAACGAAATATATTAGGTGTTACTGGTAGAAGCGTTGTCAAACACTGAATACCTGTGACATCATCATTGGTGAAACCGACGTGATCTGGTACACCTAATTGCAACTGTGAGTCTGTTCCTTTTTGGGATTTTTATATATCATTGCCTTATTTTTTTAACTTTTTTAAACATTGTGATTTTTTTTTCGTGTTTTTTCCTGGATATATATATTTTCCCCTCGTTCATTATCGTACTTCATACTTCATCATGACTGAACAGACACCTAAAGTACTCAAGCTTAAGACTTTGTCCCCGCCTTCGTTTCAACTGATGCCTTTCTGGCCCGACAACATCGAAGCCTGGTTTTGCTACGCAGAAGCCGACTTCTCCGAGCACGGCGTGATCGACACACTTGCGCAATTCCTCGCAGTAGTCAAGGCACTACCGCGCGAATTCAACAGGTACGTAACACCTAGTATGTTTACTAGTGATGTTTCCGATCCTTACGAAATCTTAAAACGCTCGATTCTTAAACGAGGAGACCTAACCGATCGACAAAGGTTAGATCAACTCTTCAACAATATCGACCTGCAACACGGTTCTGCGACGGAGATGTTGCAACGGATGAGAGAGGTAATAGGCCCAAGAACTTTCGACGAAGGCCTATTCAAACAACTCTTCTTGTCAAAACTTCCCCAACAGGTGCAAGCAGTTCTGGTCTCGTTCCAGAACAATGCCTTAGACGAGCTAGCTGCATCTGCCGACCGCATTTTAGAAATTACGAAATCTACTACCGAGGTATTTTCAGTCAAAGAAAAACCTCAAACGACTCAGAATGATATAAACGACTTATGTCACACACTCACGCGTTATCTTAGTCTTCGTACCGACCGTAAGAGATCGCGCACACCACGTAGAAGCATTTCTCGTAAGCGATCTGTCTCTAGACCACGAGAGACAGATAACCCCGACTGGTGCTGGTATCATAACCAGTATGGAAAGCTTTCCAGAAATTGCAGAAAACCCTGCAATTTTCCCAACACGAAACCGACTGATTCGAAAAGCAATTCGGGAAACTTCCAAGCCGGCACGCGTTAACGGCAACCGTAGCCGGCGAACAAAGCCGTCTGTTATTCGTCACAGATGTGACAACGAGAGTTCGTTACCTCGTCGACACTGGCGCAGAAGTTAGCGTTCTCCCAGCAAATCCTAACGACCGACTACACGAATCGACCCTAAACTTACAGGCGGCAAACGGAAAACCGATCGCTACGTATGGCAAAAGGTACGTTTACCTTAACGTGGGTTTACGCAAACCCATCCACTGGATTTTCGTTGTTGCAGATGTTTCTATGCCAATCATTGGTATGGACCTTCTACAACACCACAATCTGATCATCGACACGCGCAAACGGAGGCTAGTAGACGGAAACACTAATTTGTCCGTTTGCGTAACTTCTTTTACTGGTTGTAGAGTATCCCCAGTCACAGTTAAACATATGATAGACCCACTCTATCAACCACTACTCGATAAGTACCCTGGGATACAACAAACTCAACCGAAACTACCGTGTGTAACCAACAAGGTTACACATCACATTATGACTACAGGACCCCCTGTATTCTCTAAAGCACGACGACTAGCTCCTGAAAAGCTAAGGTTAGCGAAAAACGAATTCGATCACATGATGGACTTAGGAATCATACGACCGTCAAGTAGCCCATATGCATCTCCGTTGCACATGGTCCCTAAAAAGGACAGCAACGATTGGCGTCCAACTGGTGACTATCGGCGATTGAACGCGAAAACCATTCCCGATCGTTACCCGTTGCCTCACATTCACGATTTGACAGTTACCTTGAAAGGTACAACTGTCTTTTCGAAAATCGACTTGGTTAAAGCGTATAACCAAATCCCTATGGCTACTGACGACATACCGAAAACAGCTATCATAACTCCTTTCGGACTCTATGAATTTTTGCGAATGCCTTTCGGTCTAAGGAATGCTGCTCAAACATTCCAAAGATTCATAGACGACGTTTTTCGAGGTCTCAACTTCGTACACGCGTATGTTGACGACTGTCTAATCGCAAGTCCGGACAGAGAAACACATCTCAAGCATCTGGATCTTGTTTTCGAACGACTTCAAAAACATGGCATAACTGTAAACGTTCAGAAATGCCAATTCGGAACCGACTCGTTAGACTTCCTAGGACACACTATCGATGCTCAAGGCATTCGACCACTTAGGACCAAAGTGGCGGCCATTCTGGATTACCCAGAACCGACCACCGTCAAGCAATTACGCACGTTCAACGGCCTGGTAAGTTTCTATAGACGTTTCATACCGAAATGCGCATTACTTATGAAACCTCTGACCGACCAACTTCGTGGAAATGCGAAATCCATTAATTTGGACGACACCGTACGAAAAGCATTCTCCACAGTTAAGGAACTGATTGCTAAAGCAACGATGCTCGCACATCAGGACACCCGAGCACCCATTAGCATCGCAGTAGACGCATCCGACTCGGCAATCGAAGGAGTCTTACAACAATGGGTTAACAACTCATGGCAACCCTTAGCATTTTTCTCTAGAAGGTTGCTAGACACCGAATCGAGGTACAGCACATTCGGTAGGGAACTCCTAGCTATGTATTGTGCTGTACGGCATTTCCAACACTACATCGAAGGTCGTGAATTCACTCTTTTCACGGGTCATAAACCGCTCACTTTCTCGCTAAGCTCTCCTTGTGACAAGTACTCTCCCCGTGAGTCTCGACAACTGGACTACATTTCGCAGTTTACTTCAGACATTCAACACATCTCTGGAGCAAACAATGTAGTTGCAGACGTGTTGTCTCGAATAACGTCCTTGAGCAGTTTCCAAGGAATCGACCTTCTCAAACTCGCCGAGCTTCAAAAAGAAGACAGTGATCTTCAGCACGAGTTATCGTCCACAACACTTAAACTACGCATCAAACAGATGGGAACAGGTAAGGAAACCTTACTTTGTGACACATCTACAGGTAGGGATCGCCCAATCGTGCCGAAACATTATCGACGCAATGTCTTCAATACATTGCACAAACTTTCGCATCCAGGTGTTCGTGCAACAATCAAGCTTATAGCAGAACGGTTTTGTTGGCCTGGCATGAATAAAGACGTGAGGGAGTGGGCACGCTCCTGTGTAAGCTGCCAAAAATCTAAGGTTATCAGACACAATAAATGTCCCTTAGGCTAGTTTAAAACTCCCGATGCTCGTTTCGACCATGTTCATCTGGATTTGGTTAAACCTTTACCGGATTCAAATGGATACTCTTATCTTTTAACCTGCGTAGACCGTTTCACTCGATGGCCAGAAGTAGTACCTATTAAGGACATCACTGCTGAAACAGTGGCCCGCACCTTCGTCGAACGATGGGTAGCAAACTTCGGTTGCCCTTCAACCATCACTACAGATCGCGGGCGCCAGTTGGAATCTGGACTATTCCGTTGTCTGGCCACACATTAAGGAATCACTCGTTTCCGAACGACCGCCTACCACCCACAAGCAAACGGGTTGCTAGAACGTTTTCACCGACAACTGAAAGCTTCGCTATCAGCTGCAAACGTTTCACAGTGGACCGACGCTCTTCCACTCGTCTTACTAGGTATCCGCAATGCAGTGAAAGCTGACATTGGATACACTGCGGCTCAACTCGTTTATGGAACGACACTTCGACTTCCAGGAGAATTCGTGGATCCTTCATCCTCTTCAATGAACATGGATCTAACCTCCTACACGAACAGGCTTACAAACGCAATGCGTTCAGTTAAACCTGCTTCCACTCGACCTCAATCAACTGATGTTTTCGTTCAACCTGACTTACGATATAGTACACACGTTTTCGTTCGTCGAGAC